TCTGACAGTGGACTTGATACATTCTCAAACGTTTCGCCGGCATCGTAGTCGGCATCATCAGTGGGCTTTGTCATGACAGAAAGAGGAGTGGTAGTGTAACCGTTTCCAGCAGAACGGTTGTTGAGAGATTGACTTCACTTGTCTCTTTGACGAGTTCGTATCTTGGTGCGGAGAATAGCAAGGCTCACTGATGATGCCGACTACGAGGCCGGCGAAACGTTTGAGAATGTATCAAGTCCACGATCGTGCTAAGAAGTCAAGACAACTACTATGGCAGACGACTTCGGACTCGGTGCGTTCTACATAGTCTCCCTGAACACAAGACCAAGTTGCGACAACGAAGTCAACCCAATTCTGGACCGCTTAAGTTGATAAAAAGGACCATGTGCATTTTACGACAATGAGATGAGCAGTCCTCACGATGCAAATAACATTCATTCAGCTTTACTTCCCAAAAAGTATTCTCAACCAGACTCGACTTGACTGTAGTTTAGACCTCGCCTGGGTCTCATCAGCACTCCCATAGGGAATCTAACTCGGCTTTTGGTAGTACAGCGAATACTTTCGACAGGTTGCCACCTCACCACACTGCCACGACTGCTATTCGGTCACAAGGCAAAATGAATTTAAAGTCAAGCTACCACATAGTTTAGTGGAACTGTCGCTGAAACAAATGGGTATATTCCATTACAGTCGACAAGGCCATTTGTATTCGAAATAAGTAGGACCCCGAGACAACGATAATTATAGTCACCTTGGGTCGCTTATGGGGATGAAATCTGTACCCCTTTCAGTACCCTTTTAGCAGCAATGGACCATTGTGATATCTGCTGCGAAGTCAGTTGAATGCATGGATGCCAATTCAGAGGCGGAAGGTCTGCATTATTTTTCTTGAGGGAATAGGAGCATTAGACTGCTGTTGAGAAGACGGTGCCCTGCATAATGGAGCTGTCCTCGGGGCGGAGAAATAGAAAGATCCTGTTGAAAACAGATTGGATTTGCAGCTCGATCGCACGTCTAGGTGTCGTTATTATAATCGACCATTGGCCTCGAAGTGGAGCGGTTACCCTCCTCAAGTGATCCAGTGTTTAGCATCAATACGAGCATGATAGACCGGAGTCATCGGAAAGAGTTGTAAACAAGTACAGGAAGAATTAAAACAACTTGGTGTCATTCGTTTAAGCGGTAGGGACGACAGGGACGCATCACACTGGACGGCAATGCTGCGCTTCGACTCGGACACTCAGTCAGTGTCACTGCTCTGGAGCGATAAACCACTCGCACATCAGCAGGAACGTCGTGTACTTCGCTTTAAACAGCCCGTCCAGCTCATAAAGACCGAGTGGCCAAAGCGCGCGAAATCTAGACTGCCATGGCTGGCGGTTTTGTGTCTGCTTTGCAGGATTGATAGGCTCCAGAATTTTGTTGACACAAACACTCGTCACTCAAGCGCAATATTTATTTAACCCACTCACGTGTTTAGATTTGAGGAAGACATACGACCCGTTTGTACAAATGAAATCGCTATGGGAGCAAGGGTAAGCTGAATGGAAGACTACCCGTCACACTTAGGCCATCTCCGTTGCATAATTCACGCATAATAGAAACGAAAACCGATTCAACTGACGCAAGCTGACACTCCCTTGCGATAATCATAGTTGCCTTAGCCTAGACATTTATCACCTTCCCACCATTCTGTCTGGCTCCAAAATAATTCCCATCTTTCTACAAAGCCATATCCGTCCTCAGTTGAATTTTGCAGCCTTTACACATTGCTTACCTACATCATAAGAGCAAGCCATCACTGCAACAAACTTGGGAATCGGTGGAACGCAAAAATGGTAGGGAATTGAGTGAAAGTACGGACGTTCAACTGATCGACTGTCGAGTATACATGGGTTGAACCATCTTCAAAGGGAAAGCTAAGCAACTGGTAGTTTAATCGTCTATTCTCACTTCGCATACGCTTTATTTCACTTCGAAAGCCCAGCGCTACGAAATCGTGTTGATGCGCCTTTATGAATTATAAAATAGGTCATTAGCCCCGACCTAAAACGGATATTAATTGAACTGGTATAACTACTCAAAAGGAGAACTGGATTTCGTAACAGTATACACACACACAAAGGCATCGATTGGCATCAACTAATTGTATACCTCACTCAATAAACATTTTATTTGTATAAGTATGCACACCGGGAAGGGATGACCCGGTTACATTTGCTTGGTTTGTAGGCTTAAGGTACAATGCTCTGACTACTCGTTTTAAAAGTGATCCCACTGACTTTTTCCGTCAGACGAAGCAACATCAAGTTTTTCCCCAAAGTGAACATTGGTGTCTCGATAACTGTGTCAGCAGAAACCATGCCTAAAAGTCAGACTGCGGCAGACCATTTGGAGTCCACCATCGTCTCCCGATGATATCGACACATTCATCTCTTGATTACACATTCATAAATAAAATAAAAGTTACAATAACACCATACTGTTGAGAAAGTCGTAGAAATTTAGTTTCTGCTAAATGGAAATATTCAAGTCTGCCCGATTTTTCCTTGGGCACTGGTACTATGCACCTATGGTATCCAACCTCTGCATTTGCAGAAATATGGCAGAATTTCATTGAGTAAACTTGTTTGACTAGCCCGAGCAACATAAATGAGACAGGGCGCTCGCAGCAACACTTTGCAGAACTAAACTTTTTCATTCTTAGGGC